TATCAGGTATAGCCTGTCATATCTCCAAACTGGATAGAGAGGCCATTATGGTTTAACCTGAATAGGCTAGACAAGGTTGCAGCAATAGATAGGGCTTGGCGATAGAGTCGAGCCTCTTCTCCGAATGAACATAACTATCACCGCTGGTATTCTTGAAGCAGTAATTGAAGCAAACGAGCAGCCTAGGCACAAAAGAATCTGCGGTCAGTCTGGGGCGTGAGTCATTTTCGGCATAAAGGATCATTTGCGTTTTTTGTCATCGTCGAATGGAGATGAGCTCTTTTCCTGATCTTGGGACGACCAAGCTGCTGGCTCTAAAAGAGGCTAGACGATCTTGCAATTGTGACTCACCCATCGTCAACTCCGGACAAGACAGCCACATGCAAGTCTTGTCAACCGGAAGCCAGATCAAGTCCTATTTGCCATACAATCGAATCACATCATCACCCACCAACCACTGACCTGTAGAAGGGAGGAGACTTTCCGTAAAATGCCAGTACATCCTTTGGTGAGTAGGACCAGTCCAATCGGCCGGAGTAGTAATTCCTAATTGTATTCTGTGAATGATAGAAAGTAGTAAAGTAAACTCACTATGCCGACCATGGACAGTAAAAAGGTTTTTTAGGGCTATTATTATACATTGTTAGGAGGACCTTCGTTTCGAATGAAAGTGCATGAAGAAGAAATTAGTTGGTCGATCTCACCAGATGAGGACCTACTCGCCGCAACTCTGAAACCAAGCCGCCGAGGAGGACGTAGCACCTGTCAGCGCACTGGCGTAAAGTATGCCACTTTCGACTTCGAACTTGATGTGGAGCCTTTTTGTTGCGTTCTCTGCAAGCAGCCTTTTGATGCCGGTCGCGCACAAAATGGCCTGCGGCCTCGCGAAAACCATCAGTTCAACCACCAACCAGAGGATCAAGCCGAGACGGTACATCAAGTGGAGTTACCAGTCGTGAGGCCAGAACCGCAGACATCGCCACGCCTCCGGAGTCGGAAGAACAGTCTCTGACGTCTGTTCGGCTGAGCCGAACTCTTTTAACGGCGACTCAAGCCAAACTCTTGTGACGGCGACTAGAGGCGATCAATATTTACTCGTTTGCCCGCCAATCCGAACAGTCCGAGGCCAGCATTCACCGTTTAAGCGCCCAAACTGTCTCCTGCAAATCCACCTCCACAAGTGCCGGTCTCAGTCTCGGAGTCACGTCTAGTCGCCATGCTCCCGTATTTCCGGTACTCCAAGGTCGTCTGAGGTCTTTCGAGAAGGTGCTGGAACGATTTGATTTCTTCTTAAATTCTAAACGACCGTAAAGATTAAGGCATACTATTCAGAGCGGTGAAAACTGGAACGTGAATAATTGCTAGGGCGCATGTAGCACTTGGCAATCAACTTAGTCATCCCAAGTCGCTTAAGGTAATTTAAGCAGTGGCATTTAAATGGTGTTTTACCACAATGAGCTGAGTAAGTCACACGCTGCCATAGAATGTCCCTCAGTCTTGCCTCTCAAAATTTTATCCCTTCCAGAGCTGTCTTCAATTTCCACTTCGCTTAGACATTGTGAAACCTACTCATCGGATTATGTAAAAAACACAACTATTAGCCTTTACATCACCTCAAGCGGGCTAGAGTGACTAGGTTCTTATTCAAGAATTACTAATAGTGACGAGAGCTACTCATATTAAAATAAAGTGTGTTTTCGTATGTTAGTAGAATTTCGAGACCACCAGTAAATTATTAATATGAGATGTATTCACTCAATTTCGTTTAAGGTGATGAAGGAATGGTAGTAGAATTTTCCCACAATGATAAGAGTAGAACTGACGTTTCCATTGAATTTCACATAGCCTTGCTTTTCCAAAAGTTGTTCTCATCCAGTCCTTCATCACCTTAAACGAAATTGGGTGAACACATCTCATATTACTTATTTACTGGTAGTCTCGAAACTCTACTTAAAAATACGAAAAATAAATAGCATAATTAACGGTATGAAGACCAAGATGGTGTGGCCTTTTGTGTGGTCGCAGTCTCCTTTCGTTGTATAGAAGTTGTTTG